GTAAGTTGTGTTTAAGGTACTCTTTTTGAACAAGAAAGGGCTAGACTGTGAAATTCTGTTGTTGTTAATGTTGTGCCTCCAAGACAGACTAGTTTATGACTTACTTTTCTTCCACCCCCCCCCACCATCCCCCCCACCTCAGGTTGGAAGATTTGAAGTTAACCTCATCAGTCCAGACACCAAGTCTGTTGTGCTTGAAAAGAATTTTAAAGATATCTCCTCATGTTCTCAGGTAAGCATTAATAAGAAGCAACATGTAGATCATCAGAAGAAAAGGCATTTATTTGTTCATAGCTGGAATGCCTTGCTGGTCTATAGGCAGCAGAAAAAAGGAAATACAGAAAGTCTTTTTCAGCTTTCTCTGCTGTTTTCCTTTATTTTGTTTCTAAGACCATTTTTAAACAGTTTGTCCTATCTAAATAACCCTGAATGTAAGTAAATTGCTATTTTACCCCATTGGCTTCTTAATTAAAAAAACGTGTGTGTGTGTGTGTGCGTGTGTGTATGTGTGAGAGAATTTTTAGCAGTTGTGACTAATGTATATACAAATCGTACATGAATTTTCATGTATTGGCTTTGGGGAGTACTGCTGTAGAAATTGGATATTAAACTGCCATTGCTTCATTAACACTTGAAGCAGTCTTGAGGTACTGGTTTGCCTTTACAAGAGCAAGAGCTGTTACTCAAATCGGGGCTTTCACTCATCTGGTAGCACTTTCAAGTAGATATTGCATACAAATAAAGCAAGGTCATTCACAGAAAGCCTAAGTATGGAAAGGATGAGTGCAAAATAACTAGTCTGAGCTGTGGTAGTGGCAACTTTTATCAATGGTCAGAAAACAAACTATAAACTCTTCTGCTTTAGGAAAGCATTGGATATAGTTTTGGAAGCAGCTTAATCTCTGTTTACGATGCTCTTTGGGTGTACTGGTTTTGACCAAGAAAGCTCCTGAAAACCTCTGGAATGAAAGGAGAGCATAAGATCAGACTTCCAGAAAAACAGCAGTTTTGTTCTGGAAAACATGGCAATAGGTGAACCTAGCTATGTCCAGTAATAAATAAATGCCAAGGCTGAGGGATTCACCTATCTTCCTGTTGTTCAGCACCTGTTACTTGTGATACTTTCTGAGGTCTTACTTTATTACCTTTTATCATTCGCTGTGCACATGTCTCACTTCAGGAGTCCTTAAACATTATTACTCTAATTTAAAGTAGACTTCCTGGCATGCTCTAAACCTGTATTTCGCCCCTAAGTGCTTTCATTTTAATGCTAATAACAAATCTGCTCTTGCATGACTATGCTACCAATGCTGGCCAGTACTTGTAACTCAGGTGGAGTCTTGAGCTACCAACTAAAGGTCCAGGCCTTTAAGTAGACTCTGTTGTTTAACTACAATTTGTGTTGCTCTTGGTAGAGAAAAAAGGCGAGTGCAAATACAGAATGGGACAGTATAATCAAACAGGGATGTATTAAGAGCTTTATAATAAATACAGCTCAAAGAGATTCTTAAAGCAGTGGTACAGAGAGCAAAATTTGCAGACGGCTTGAGTCTTCTCCTGCTTTGTGGGTGTACTGAGCTGAATAAAAGTGACACTTCAGCTTTACATACTGGACTCTTGGGTTGCCTATACATACTGACAATAGTCAAACAAAACAGCCTTAAGTGGGACAACCTTTGTTCTGCTGACTTTAAAGCATGGTAGAGACCAGCAAGTCCATGGCAGACCTTCAAGGATTTCCTTCAGTAAAATGTGTACAGTAAATAGTGTTGGTATTGCTGTGTGTTGGGCTTTGGAGGTGGAGTTTTTCACTCCACCTCTTTACTTTCAGTTGGAGCAAAGCTTTTGTTATTTTGCATGCTTGAATAACTCAAAACAAGCACTAACAATATTGTGGGGGTTTTGGTTTGTTTGTTTTGTGGTGTTTTTGTTTTTTTTTTTTAATGCAAAATGGCTACTTCAGAGCAGTCAAGGTTTTTTTCAGTGTTTAATAGAAATGAAACATTAATTTGTCAAGACTAAGGATTCAGTTGCATAAACCTCATTGGTACTTCTTTTAAGAACTTGGTGCTAGCCACAGGGCTTCTCTGTTACGGATTTATAGGGCAGTGATTTACTGCATATTGTTAGACTACAGCTTAGGAATGTTTGTTCTTCTGAAGCTTTAGAAACAATGAAATGAGATATTCTCTTCAGCTTGCATTCTGGATTCTTTCAGTCTGGTCTAATGAAGGTATTTTTATTCTATAGCTTAAGTATGGTTGATCTGCTGTATTCATTATCTGCACTCCATGTACTTGTCAAAGCAGCAAACATTAATTGGTGATAAACCCCTGTGTGTGATATCTAAACTCAGGTGTCAGACAGCTGTAGAAGTTTCCTTGTTGTAGCCTTGCTGACCTCGAGGGAACCCAGAGCAACAAAAAAACCTTGCTCTTTCAGCATGACAACTCTGGCCACCCTCTTAAAGAAGTATGATGGAGGTACTGTTAATTGAGGAATGTACTCTTCTATTCACGCTTCAGTGGGGCAAGAGTCACATCCATCTGCCCCACAAATGTTCTGTGGAGACTGAGAAATTGGACAGCAGTAGATTTGTTCAAACACTGTCAGCAGTGAGAGAACTACAGTCTCACTGAACCACCTTAAGTAAATGTGGTTTCCTTGCAGAACAGAGGGCAACATTTCACTGTTATGTAGATCAACATGTGTATACATCTGTTCTTTTTCATTTTTTGCTCTTGAAGACTTCCCGTGTCACAGAAAAATGAGTTCAGTTAAGTCAGGATTAGTGTGGACTCTGGTAAACTAATGCTGTTTGTGCTATCTTAGATGCCCTCTGCACCTTTGTTAAGTTTTGTTTAAGTAGCACAAATGTAACTTCTGGAATTTTGTTTTTAAAAACTACCGCATTTAGTGACAATATGTTCAGTCTGTCACGTACTGCATTACCAATTTTGTCTAGAGTGTTTTCTGTAATGACAAGCAAGTTGTTCTGCCTCCTCCCCTCTTTTATGATATAGGTGTTTTCTTTGGAGATGGATCCAAGCAACCAAGTTCTGCTTTCTGTTGTATTTGAACCTGAGGGATTAGACTTTCTTTTGGAGAAAATTTACGATTACCATATTCGGATGATAAAAACATTGGCAAAAGCTTTAACAATAGTGAGTCATGTTCCATGAATTGAGACTGGGAATATAGTGCTTCTTAGGAAGCAGCTCTCTTTGATCTTCTCAGTGCTGTTTTTAGCAAGGCAGCGTCCTTGACAAGCAGTTAGACTAGGGTCTTGAAAGAAAACGTCAGTAGTAATGTGTAGTAAATCTTGAAACTTGTGGTATGTAAATTGGTCTCAAAGAACTTATTTAAGAATTTGGTTGGAATTCTGCATGTCATCCCCTGCTCTTTTTGGTGTAGTCCTAACTTGTATTACAGAAAAGCTGAGATCTGTTGCTACTTTGATGCTACTCCAGTCCTGTGTTTTAGTGTGGGCTCATTACATCAAGTTTTCACTGTAGAGACAATTTCAAATACAACCTAGGACTCTAGTAAGTTTTCTTCCCTGAAAATCCAGTTTTCTAATGGAAGAAATTCAGGTCCAGGTCTATTGCTGTATAACTTTTGTTTTGATTGTGTAAATAGCTTTACGTAACTTTTAAAAGATAACTCTTGTAGTTGTAAAATAGTTCATTAGGAGTATGCTTTTATAGGTTTTTGAATTTTTGTATTGGCAAGTGTTGTAGTCTGGTAAATATTTTTGGGATCACTTTGGAAACTAAACCTGTTCATAAAATAGTTAACTAATGCTGTTTTTAAACTCTCTTAGGGTATAAAACACGTTGATCACTTTGGTTTTATTTGCCGGGAATCTGTTGAACCTGGGTTAAGCCAGTACGTTTGCTATGTGTTCCAGTGTGCAAGTGAGTCTCTGGTGAGTATTTATTAATGATCCTAACCTTTTCACTGGATGAAGTCTGAGGCATTTTCTGAACCATGGGAGTCTCTGTTACTCTGCTGTGTCAGCTGAGTCTCAGTGGTCATGTGTTCTCAGGTGTAAGACCTTAGTTGTGAATATGAAAATATGCTATAGAAAATGCATACATTCTGTTCATATATAGCCATATCCTGCTGCTCTGCTGATGCATATATCAATAACAAATAGAAAAAAGTCCAGATGGATGAGTTCACACATGCAGACTGTGAGCATATTTGGGCTCCATATTTGATTGTAACTCTTGCATTTCTAGTCATTGAGACACTTGGTTTCCCATTAAACATGTCATTACATGTAATGAAGCAGTGACAAAGCTGGTGATAAAACCCAAACTTACTTTTCAGGGTATGGTTTAAACTACTGACTGATCCTGCGTGTGTCTTTAGCCTGCACATGGCTTTAGCATTTTCCCTGTTTTGTTCCTCAAGAGAAGAAAATAGTAGCATGGGATCAGAGAAGAAAAAAAATGTAATATGTGTGGATGTGTCTAACTATAAAAAAGTACATTGGACATTTGATTAAGTATGTATCAACTGAAGTTCCAGGTGCCAGTGAGTTAACTAATACAGGTAGTAATAATGTAAGACGCATACAGGAAATCATCTTGGATATTACATTTTTATTTTGAAGCTCTGACACTCTAAAAGAACTTAGTTTCTTTTCAGAAACCTGTTTGTTCCTGATGGCTGTGCTAAGAGCTGCAAACTCTTTCTCAGCTAAACATTTTTAAGTTCTTCTAGCTAGTTAAAAATATAATTTGTTAATCCATTGACTAGCTTGAGAGTGTATAGATTTACATCAATAAAACTTGAAATAGCTAACAGCCATAGATGTACAGGGGTAGCTGAGGCTGCACTTTTTTCAAAATAAGACCTTGTTATAAAATCAGCTCTATCTTTATATTAACAGAAAACATTATATCTGACCTATTGATATATGTGACCATGCATAATTTAAAGACTTAATATGTGTTGTGCAAAGAAACCATCTATTTTTGAACCTCTTTACATATTCTAGTAGTGATATGTGTGGGTGTGCCCTCATTGCAATATGAAATGAACATTCCTGAGCTACTTTCAGGTGCAATCACTTGGACCCCAGTGGCAGTTTGACTGTGGCAGGGCAGAGCTGTAAAACTTAATGCTTTCTGGATTCTGTGATAGCAGGCGGGCTATGCTGATAGGCTTGTGTATCTTTGCTCTAAGCCTAGCTGCAGTTTGTGCTATAATTCTTATGATTTTAGTGTAGTCATAATCCATACGCTTAGCACTGTTCTGTGCATCTTCCATTTGAGAGGCATTGTTGCCAACTTAAAAAAATTATCAGTCTGTATTGCAAGACAGATATTCACTGTTCAATGCCCTGCTTTATTGCTAAGAAGAGACAGCACTCAGAAATTACTCATAGTGCTTAAAATAATATTGGGTTTTGGTCTGGGAGTGTATTTGAATGAGTGTGGAGAAGCACTGTCACCTCAATCTTTCTTACACAGAAGTTGAGTTTTTTCAGTCCTGGTCTGTGGGAGCATAGCACTGCTGTATTTGTGGTAATGCAGAAGGATGGCAGTACCTAAAGAGAAGTTGGTGATTGTCATGAGGCTGGTAGCCAGTCTAGTAGCCTGGAGAGAAGTGAACTGCTGTGGGAAGCTCCTGTCTGCCAGCAGGATTGGTCTGTGGAGTTTTGTGCTAAAACGGTACAGCGGTGGGAGGAAAATTGTTGGGAGGGAGCATGTGCAGTTTACAGGAGAAACTCAAAGCTAAAGAAAAATAAATTAATGCATTTTATTTAGCATATATTCAAGCCAAAAATTCCCACTTGCAACTTCTTAAAGCAGCGGCTACCTGCCCAGTAAGCTTGAGTAGCTGTGGTAAGATACTCAAAATTACACTTGAAGATGGTGAACCATCCACAGAAAAAGCAGAAAGCTGGGAAGGCATCGCTGATGTCTTTAGAAGACAGTAAATAGGGTTTGTTTTCTTTGATTATAAAGCACCTAAGATGTGATTTATAGATCTAATTTGATGTATGTGGCATGCTTTTTTGTTTATATACTTTTTCCTCTTTCCCCTATAGGTTGATGAGGTAATGCTTACCCTGAAACAAGCCTTTAGCACTGCTGCAGCTCTGCAAAACGCCAAGACACAGATTAAATTGTGTGAGGCCTGTCCTATGCATTCATTGCACAAACTTTGTGAAAGAATTGAAGGTAGCAGCCAAGTTCATTTTCTAATTGTGTTTTTCTGATTATTCTAGAATAATTTGAATTATGTTAACTTTCAACTTAAACAGTGTAAGAACAGAGGGAAAAATAGCGCAATAAGCAATTCTTACCATCACTTTTCGCACTCTGTAATCAAGTGGAGGTGATAGCAGTAACGATATTGCAACTGAATATAGTGTAGCTTCCATTATAAATACACACTCTTTCATCGTAATACCTCTCTTAAATGTTAATCAGAGCAGAAAAATCCACTGGTTCTCCTTCTGTTTGTTTGTTTGTTTTTTTCCTGAAGATGCATGCTTTCAAAATAGGTCATAAAAAGAAGTTGTGATCAAAAAAAGGGTCTTGCTATCTTGTGTGTTCTTTCCTGTGTGGGGTTATTTTTTCCTTCTTTGTGTTTATTCTCTTATGCACTTCAAAACCTAGTTCTGTTACGGGGAAATAAATGATTAAGTTAGGAGATTAATATCTAGTAAAGAAAGTCAAGGTGACTACCTGGCTTCATATATGAATAGACAAATGTTTGTAGCTTCTCTGGAAGTGATGTATGCCAGAACACATGCAAAAAATCTTACAAGATAGAATTTAAAAAAAAAAAAAAGTTAGTAGCAGGATCCTATTTTTATAGTCAGTCTGCTGTGTCTCCTTGTGAAGTGTTATATGTAAAAAAAGCAAGTATGTTATAGTAGTCTTGTATCTTCTAGTCTGGTGATGATGGTGTTGGTAATTGCCAGTTCTCCCATTCATTAAAAGTCACTGTTGCTACTTACCTCCCTCTGGTGGCTGAAAAGCAAAATATAAAACCTTAGTGTCATGAAATTCTGTTAGGTTGCGACTGGTATTTTCTGGATTTAACAACAGATGTTCAGAAGTGATAAAGCTTAACTGGAAAAGTCTTCTGTAAATGAAAAACTATAGAGGCTGCTGTATAAGGCAGTGTAAGTATCTTGAACACAGTTACTTACAAGACTGGGATAAGTATCCAGTATCAGAATAAAATCTCTTCTAGGAAAACAACTTGAGTACCATAATAGTATTTTCGTGAACTTCAAACTTTGTGACTGAAAGATGTATTTTAGTGTCCCTTTGTTCTCATCCGTCTGCTCTGTTTAGAGTCTAGAAATTTATCATAATCAAACCTAGAGCTTTATGACATTGAAAAAATCTTGATCTGTTCTAATTACAATTTTCTATGAATGATATCTACCATGAATGGAAAAAACATATATCTTCATCTGATTCGGGGGGTTTGTTTTCCCCCACAGTTTTTGTAGCTTCCTAGAACAAGCTCTGTGAGCAAATGTGCACTTTATCAAACATCAGAAATTCTTTATTCTTACAGCTTTTATGCTGTTCCTACTTTTAAGTGTCTTCAGTTCTCTAGTATGACCTGTCCTTGTGTAGAAATGCATCTAAATTTTTCAATTAAAAGCATCTGAAAACTTCTGAGTATCCTGTCATTCAGTATCTCTCCAGTTACCTCTCTTTTCTATTCCTCTCTTCTTCCTCTCCCATACAGTTGTCAGGCTTCCAGCTGTCAGTGGTCTCTTGGTACTAGGACAGAAGACATCAGTGGGGTAGGGAGCACAACCTTTTACACAGGAGCCAGCCACTTAGCTGCTTCTAGTTCTGTTTTTACTGCTAAAGAAAGGAGACAAAACCATGTGGTTTAGCAAAATCTGGAGTATTTTGTATCATGTATACTGCAGATACACAACTGTCATACGTTATACTTGTATAAGCTCAAATGCAGGCTTACATCTTCTACTATCATTTTTTTAAAAAGTTTTTGAGATACCATTTGAGAATCTAGAAGCTTTAATGTTAATTTCTTTTCTCAGGACTCTATCCACCAAGAGCCAAACTTGTAATTCAGAGACATCTGTCATCATTAACTGATAATGAGCAAGCAGACATTTTTGAACGTGTTCAGGTAATACATTCGAAGCTGTTCTTTCAGATTTGAAAAAGACCACGATAAAATGGACTAGATGATTTTGATTATGCTTGTTTTGTTATGTAGTTGATCTAGAATATACTATTTCTTCACCAAACATCATACTGAAATAACATACTCCAACCTAATCTCATGTGTGATACACTGTTATTGGAAAAGTTTTGATTCCCAAGTCTTCTGAGACAATCTGTGTCCATACCCAGAGTACTGTTTTTCTGAGCTTAGTTCTTCATTTGTAAAACACATTTGCCTACTTGAAAGTGATGTAGGAGTGAATTGAGATCAGGTGAGACATGCAGGTATCAGGAACGTGTCTGTCATTTTCAGAAGCTGTCTTTTTTGACTGATTCTGAAGCAAGATTCTGGTATGAGCAAGTATACTCAAGTGTATGAAGTATACAATGATCTAGACTTTGAAAGGCTAAGCTCTTCTCTAGCTGCCTGGAGAAAGGAGTGGCTGTTTGGTTTTCCTGGATTCCTTATTCCCTTTATAAGGCTATACAATGGCAGGCAATCTTAGAAGACAAAATGTGTGCGTGTAAGGCTCCCTCCTCTCCACAGCCTGTAACTTTTTACATATGTAAGGTTTTGGTCTGTTTTGCTCAGGAGCACGAAGGCACATGAACAGTAGTGCAATTTGACATAGTAATAGTTCACTTTGGCATCTGGAATATCAGTATATTAATTTCAAGGAATACAAGCATATAGAAGGGAAAATAAGCAAATTGTGACTTGAAAGACCACTTTTTTACTTTTCTTTGCTGTTACTGACAGAAAATGAAGCCTGACAATGACCAGGAAGAAAATGAACTTGTGATCTTACATCTCCGCCAACTCTGTGAAACTAAGCAGAAAACTCACATTCACATTGGTGAAGCACCGTTGGTAAAGCTTATTTTTGGATCATTTCTCTCCTTCCTCCCACCCTGCTAAAATGCAATCTTGAATACTAGCAGGGCCACTGCTAGAGTTCATCAGGGATAGCTGAAGCTGGGTAATTAATAGAGGACTGTGAAAAAGAAGTGATTTGATTTATAGTGGCATGCTTGGGTTTTTTAGGTTTGGGGGACAGGAAGGGAGAGAAGAAAGACAACCATTTATTTCTAGTTCTAGATTTCCTCACAGTGTGAGGATACCTCTTCTGTTCTTTTCTTTCCTCCTGATCCCTGCTCTCAAACAGTTATTTCTAGGGACAATAGGGATGAAGAGGGCATTAGCTTCACTTTAGACCACAAACTTATCTAGTAAAGGAAATGGGTAACAGTATTGTTAAACTGATATGCTTTACTACAAGATAGTCTTTAGGGATGGAATGTGTCTGTGGGTTTTTTTGGGGGGTGTATGGGGTTTTTTGTTTTAGTTTTTTGTTCGTGGTATTTTTTTAATAAAAGCGAAGGGTATGTTGTTTATTATGTGAATTGGTTCAGCTCTAGTCTTTTGAGGTCTGCAATTATAAAAAGAATTGCCAAAGCTGAATTGTGTCCTTGCTCATTTCAACAGACCGTTTCTAACAATGCGATTCCAGAAAGCACCGCCAGTGGTGGCAGGTTTAAACTTGACGTTCTGAAAAACAAGGCCAAGAAATCCTTGACTAGCTCTCTGGAAAATATCTTCTCAAGGGTAAGATTAACAACTCATTGTCAGCAGCTCTCTCAGATATCCTTGACAGTAAAGACCTATCAGATTTTTTTTGGTTTTGGCCTCAGTCTGATAAATACTTAATGAAGTGATATCCCTATTGTGTAATCTGAGAGTTACAGCGGGTTTGATTGTGACTTAACTGTGCTAAAGAGTTTTTGGTAAGGCCACACATACAGAGGTAAAAAAGGCAGCTTTCTGAATAATGAACATTCATTTTAGGTAGCAAGTGAGTTAGCTGAGCATTATCAGTTGTGTTGCTTCAGAATAAAAAAAAATTAATCAGGATGGTTTCATGATCCCATAAAGAGATATGTTATCTTCTTCTGAAAGTGTGAATAAATGCACCTGCATAAACTGGAAAACTTTTTGTTTGGAGAAGTAATGCCTTACCTGTCATAGCTAAAATTGCTCATATTGGTCACCAAGAATCTTTAGAAATGAGTAACAAAGTTGTCCTTCTGCAGGAAAAATTAGCAACAGACTTAAGAAGTGAGTTGTTTTTCATTTCAGTGTTAGGATGTGGAATTGCATATAATTACTGGAACTCTCTTACATTAAATAGCCTTTTGAAGAAGCAGTTCTAATTGCAAGTTTTGCTTAGTGTCCCATGCTCAGTAGGGAGAGTCCTGAAAGCATAGAAGAGGCATATAGAGGAGTACCTGATGAAGGCTGGGTCCCTGGGACCCAGTATGTCATTACAGAGAAGGTGTCATGCGCTGTGAGTACTGGATGGCAAGGTCTAAATGCACTTCGGAGCAGTGAAATTAAGTTCCTTCTGCTGATAATTTTAAAAGTACTTTGCTGAATCAAGGCCTAGGTTGCACTTGTCCTGCAGCTTACAAGGGCACATCGTAAAGTGACCTACAAATGTAGGATGCCACAGATGTTTCCTATAAAGGAGGCAAAATATTATTTGCCAGGGAGAATCCTTAGAATTTAAGGTTAGGCGTGAATTTGACCCAGGGCTGAAGCTAACATTGAAACTCTCATGGTCAAATCTGACCTATACTGTGTGGTATGTTTTACACAGTAGGACATAAAAGAGAATGGTGATGGGTAGAAGATCTGGATAATTTCAGCAGTCTGAAATATCATCAGATGGTGACAGCTACAGTCATGCCTTTGCTGAGTCTAATTTCTTTTCCACATCTAAAGAACGTGTGACTGGAAAGTGATCTAGCTCGGATGGTGGGTCACTAAGCCTGTGGTGGTTGTGGAACAGGCGTACATCACTGGGGATAACCCAGTAAAGCAGCCCTGCCATATACGGACATACTAGCACTCCGGTCATGTCAAAGAGAAGTCTTTTATTCAAAGTGCAGTGGTTAAGTTGAAGAGTCTCTGAAGGGAAGTTGCTTATGTATTGTTGTTTTGATACAGTGTGTTCCTTCTCACCAGAACCACTGTGACATGCTGCATGTTATAGTATAAGGACATACACAGTCCATGACTGAGTTCAAGAGAAGTGTACATCTGAATCTGGGTTAGGGTCATTTTAAGTTTGCTATTTATGAAGCTGACTTGTTGTTCTGAGGAAGGCTTCCTCATCTTTAACTTGAAACTGCAATAGATTAGGAACAGCAGTATGTTGTAGTGAATCATGATACACATAGGGGTTCATCCTTGCAGATCTATTTAAAGGTTACACAGTGCAAGACCAAGAAAAAGAATTTACACTGCAGCTTAACCACTAACTAGTTGGTTAAAACAGGTACATACAGCAGATATCTCTGTGCATTGCATACTGTGTGTTATGTGCATACATGTGTTGTACAATGACTGTTTTGACAGTTCTTCATCAGGCTATTACAACAAGCCTAATGGATCGTAGGGAATTCCTAAGGGTATTTATGCATCAAATACTTAATGGTGTGGTGGGTTTTCCCCTCCTTAAGACAGCTGTAAATCACATGGTATTGATGTAATGGATGCTAATTATGCGTGACTTTATTTTAAAGTATGCATCACCTTTATTTTAAAGTACATTTAATAACAAAGAGACCAGAAAAGAACTTCAGAGCTTTTTTCTTTTAAAGTTGGCATTCAGCATCATTTTGTAGATAAAAAGATTTAAGTACAAAGTAAGAGTCAGTATATGCTGAGACTTAAGCAGCCTCAGTCTTAGCAAAGTTAGAAATAAGTATGTAGTAACCAGATATCTAGGAACACTTTAAGTGGTTGGCTTTTTAGCTAGATAAATAGCATCAAGCGACATTTTAAGCTACTTGAAGGAGTAGCTACTCACTTCTCACCATAGGGAAACATGCTGTGTTCTGTGCTCTGGCCTCACTTAGTCTCAGAGGAATGTCACTTTTTCACTTGTTTGTTTTTCTGGGCTGATCTTATTTTTGTCAGGTTTGAACTGAAAACAGGCTGTGGCTTCCTAATGAGGTACCTTAGAAAAATAAATATAACCTCTGTTTGACCTCATGAACAGATTTCTTCCAGCCCATGCTGCACTAACCTCTTCTGTTGGTTTTATTTTCTGCACCAAAAAGCCCTTCTTACACTTTCAAAAGTGTGTTTTTAAAGCTAGTGAAAAACTTCCAAGTTATCCTTTGCTCTTGTTTTATTGTAAGGATAAGTAAAGAGATGCTTTAGTCAGAGTATTCATTTGTAATGAGCTTAAATGGGATAATGTACTTAAAGGGCACTCTAAGTCTTGAAAACAAACCTTACCAGGAAAAAGTAGGCTAAATAAATACTACTGATGTTGACAAAACTTCCCCTGGAGGTGCAAACATACCAAGAGGAGCTCTATCTATAGTTTTCCTAAAACCTAGATATCTTTTTTCCCCTTCAGCATTTGGAAGTGTCCAACATCATATATCACCAATGTTTCATGGGAGTTAAAGTTAGGAGTAGAAGGTAGTCAAAAGTATTGCATCTCTGTGGCCTCTTCCTGTGAAACCAGATGACTGGTAACAAATTCAGCAAAGATCTGCTAATGCTAATTTCTAGAAATTTTTCCTCAGCGTTATAAGCATTATAATTTAAGAGTCTTGTTTGTGTCTGGTATTGTTTGGCTGGATTTGCAGCCAGAGAGTGTTTTTTCACAGTTTTAGTGCTTTCACAACTTTTGCCCAGGTGGACTGAATTTGTCTGAAATGTCTAGATATGGAGTAAACTCTCTGTTGAGATTGTAGTATGTCAAATGCATGCACAGTACTGAAGTCGGGAGCTTTTTGAACTCGACTGTTTAAGTCAGCTCAGCTGTTTCCTCTCAGATGGATCAGGAAAAAAACAGAGCTGCAAATTTAAAACTCTGGGAGCAAGGAGGCAGAAGATACAGTTTTGCCAGCTAAAGATGTCACTGCTTGTAAAATCCAGTGTTTGCCCCGTGATCTGTCATCTTTTATCAAATGTGTCATGTGCCTGAACTGTCCTGTGTTCATCTGCACAGCTGTTGCCATCTTTGCCTAACCTTCAGTAAAAGAGGAAAAAGACCAGATTAAATTAATCACCTTTTTCTTTCAGGGAGCCAACAGAATGCGAGGCCGCCTGGGAAGCGTGGACAGCTTTGAGCGCTGCAACAGCCTTGCTTCTGACAAAGTAAGGAGCTTAGTTAAAATTGGCACGTTTTTACGAACGGGGGTTAGTGAAGTGTAAATACGGCACTCTGTTTCGATATGAAGGAAGTAGCACAAAGCACATCAATTTACAAAACTCAAATAAGAGTTTCCACTGGGAGGCGGAGGGTGTAAGAAAACTGGCATATATGTTGACTTGAAGCTACGCTTCCCTTTTACAAAAAGCAGGGAATTTCTGGTCAGCTTCTGCCTTGTTTCACCAAAGTAAAAAGGGTCATATCTCAACAAAAGAAAATGCTCTGAAGGTGAGGCATCCTTTCTGTAAGTAATAGTTGCTTTAGGGAAGTAAAAATTCTTGACCTAAAACTAACTGTTGGGGATGCTGTATGGGGGCAAGCGGGCAGAACGCTGTTCACTTTCTTTCTGTTTCCTGTTTTTAACGTTTTACCTCACGTGAGGATTGGTTGCAGGTTTTCCCAGGAGGTAAAGATTCTGTTATGGTTTTCCTGCTACAGTTACACATAAACTGGCTGTGTAATAACAATCTCTCATCCAGGATATCACTATGACGGTACAGGAAGTATGCTCGCGGTATGTCGAGGAAACTAGCTAGAAGCAGTTTCCCTAGTCTTTTCAATTCCTGTGTTTTCTTGAAAGAGCCAGAAGTCCAGTAGCTGGAATGCTGATCCCTGTGAAAGGATGCCTAGAGTAATTAGTATGTTGTTTACATTGTATATATATTTTATTCCTCCCTCCCCTTTTTTTTTTTTTTTTTTGAAAGAAGAATGTTGCTGGTTTGGAGTGAATTATCAAGGGATGTCTGGTTTTGGTGATAATTAGCATACAATAGGCCATGACCAAGAAGGGGGAGAGGCTTTGGTGCCCCGATGCAGTGCACAACGCGTGGGGTTCAGCACAGAGCGGCAGGCCTCACTCCACCACCACTTCCTTTCAGGACGCTTCGCCGGGCAATTCCCCACCCGCTACTCCTCCAGCGTCCCCCGTGTCCTCGGCCTGGCAACCGTTTCCCGAGGAAGACTCGGACTCACCACAGTTCAGGAGGCGTGCGCACACCTTCAGCCACCCCCCCTCCAGCACCAGGCGGAGGATAACACTCCAGAACGGGAGGTCCCAGAGCGTCCGGTCCCCGCTGCTGCGGCAGAGCTGTGTCGACACGGCGAGGTGAGTCAAGGCATGCTGTGCCACACGCCTGCTGTCTCCTGTGATTTCGGTACTCAAGCCTCACCCGTGTTCCTTCTTACGGTAGCTGGTTTTGTGCTGCTGTGGATTTTATTTATTTATTTGCAGCCCGTCTTCTCTGCTTCCGAGTAGTCCGGTACTTCGCAGCAACTCCCTAATCCCTGAATAGTGGTTCAGGGGAGGCGTCAATCCAGCTAATTGATTGTAGAACTGGATGCCGGCACCAGTTTATTTATTTATTTATTTGTCGCCTCTGAGCTGAGCCTTTTTTGGCAGTGTTGGTAGTCAGGCCCTTTGGAGAAGAGGTCCTCACCGCTTTTAACTGCAGTGATGGTAGCCTGACGGTTTTATTCCAGGGTGGAAAAGGCACTGACAGCTTCAAGTGTCTGTCGCTGTATTAGCCAAGCCTCCTAGAGAGTATGTCCAGAATTAAAACTGGTGAGGAATCTTGCAAAAGGACTTAAGTATTAAACACCTCCACTGAACCGTGAGGCATACGATTTCCCCGTTTGCCTTTCTCCGGACCTTCCCTCTGTAACTTCTTTCCCCTTCCTTTTTGGAGATTCTCCAGCTATTAACATGTGGAACACTGTTCCTTCAGGAGTTCCTTCACTCAGTCAGAAGAGGTCCCCACAGTTCATTGTGGGCTTCTTTGGTTGTAACTTCTTTCTGTGCTTCCATCCTGTGCTTCCATTCTATCTGCAGTAAGTGACTGTGCAAACTCCAAAACTTTTACAAGATTCAGTCCCAGATGAGCTGATATTTTTCAGTGCTTGGCTACAATTATGCTTTTTTGGGCTCTTTCTAAAAATGGCTTTAAATAATAACTTCTTAGTTGTTTGATGTCTAGATTAAAATATCGGTGTGAATGTCTCACCAGCTTGTAGTGAAAGGCAAGTTTACTCTGTTTAAAAAAATGGAAGGGGGTGAAGGGTAAGAAATTGAAGTAGCTTGTTACATTGTGTTTCTGAAGAGATAAATAATGTGTTTTTTGTGGAGATAAACTTTGGTTGGTTTTTGTTGTTTTGTTGTTTTTTTTGTTTTTTTTTTTTCCACTGACCATATTGTATGCAAACAGGAAACCCTGACAGTTCAGACTAAGGACTTGCTGACTTCACTTCTTTGTAATAACTTTTAGAAGTCGCTGATTAAATGGCATCATCAGCAGATTTTCAGTCAAAACAGTTTGTAGCAACTTAGTTCTAGGATAGGACTTTTCATTCTTTCCTATTGAGGATTAATCAAAAATGTTAAGTTAAAGAAACTGAACTAATTTTTATGTACCCCCAACACTTTTTACTGTTATAAAGTAATGTTTAACTGTGTAATGGGATTATCTTTCTTGCTTTAAACACATCACAAAAAAATTTATCTAAAAATAGTGCATTTAAATAATCTCTGCTTTCTAATGTGTTCTAGCAATACACATTATATACAAAAGCAAAAGAAAACTGATGAGAAGTAACAAGGTGGTTCATGTTATTGGAAGCAAGTTTCTAAGGATATTTTCTGAATGTTTCAGAGATTCTTTTTCTGAATTTGCTTTGAGAATAAAACAGGGCTAAAGGAATAAGCTGGTCTGCCTGTTCTGCAATGTCACTGAAATGTTTCTTAAAAAAAATCCACTGTAACAGCAAAATAGTATCATCAGGGAAACTGCCCAGTAGTGCACTTGGTACATTTTATCTTCTGGGAAACAAAGTTATTGTGAGCCAAGATGAGGTACTTGGCCTGTATCTTTAATCCGGATGTTTTTCTGTTGTACCCGAATCCATGCTGACCCATCTGCTGTGTTCTCTTGTTGCCTGCACAGTCCTATTGTTGGGGTTCGGCGTGCTTTCAGTGAGAGTGAATCTGCGTCACCTGGTCTCCCCTCCTCTGTCTCTGCCCCTTCTTTCCTGAAAAGCTTTTACCAGGGCTCAGGAAGGTTGCTCCAGCAATCAGAAAGTGACCTCTCCAAGAGGTGAGAGCGTGGTCTCCATCCTGGTTCTTCCGTGCCACCAGCTTAACAACAGGATTCCCAGTGCAATGCAGCACATGGGATCTCTCCCACTCTGCCTTGTGCTCCTGCATTTCTAACAGACCTCTTAAGTAGTTGATGCAAATGGGCAAACTGGCTTTTGGCCAAAAAAGCCTGTTAAAAATAGAGGCTTGTCTGCTGACATCTAGTAACTGTGACCTGTTTCTGTTGCAGTGTTGCAAATCTGTTGCATTGGTTTGTCACTTGAAATGCAGTGGTTTTTAGGAGAGTCACGCCAATTTAATGCTTTCTCTGCTGAATGCAAACCAGCATGTGTTGCTGTGATCACTGGCATGTGATAATAAGAGCGATGTGAAGAGTGTACAGTACTAATGTGGGGTGCCTGTGCATGAGGAAGGGGAAGCACCAAGTTAGCTGGGTGATACTGGCTGTGAGATGTTTATAGAGAACTGGCAAATAACTTCCAATTGAAGAGGAGTGGAGAAGAAGAAAAAATATGAGAAAGGCTTTCTGACATCAGTGTTAAAAGACTGAATATCTGAATGGAAGTCACACTTCTAAGCATAGGCTCTCCTTTAGGAGGGTGCTTGAGGAAACTGCATATGGGCTATTTTTCTGAAGTAGGCCTGGAGTGATAAGATGGAGCTATAGTTTTGAACATTTTTTGCCATTGCTAGCCTTTTTATTTCTCTTCTGTCAATGATAACTCCTTTTTTCTTCATCCTTGTTCACTGAACTACCCTTGTGTTTCTAGAACCCTTCATCTCTGAGCGTGGCTCTCCTCTAATTGTTCCCAAGTGTGGAGTTATAGAAGGTGCTTTTGTAACTGTTTCTCCCTGGAAAAATAACAGTAGATTGCATTCTTACCGAAAACAAATGTTGATGAGATCTGGATTCTGGATGCGTTAGGACTCTAATACATGGGGATTTCAGCTGTATGAGATGGGTGTGTAAGTTTGTAGGGGTGCCTAAAACACAGATTAGTTTTGTCATCTCCATTTTAGGGTAGACTGTAAGAAATTACGTCAATATACAAACTAATGTGAGAGGCAGCTGACCTGAAGGTGGCTTTAACGTACATTTCAGTCACCTCTAATAATATATAAATACAAAGTACATATCATCTCCTTAAGTACATTATATCCTGCCTTGATTTCAATGACATTTAAAGTGTCTCTTTCTGACCTCTAATCTGTTATTGGTGTACAGCATGCAGCTAAAAACTGTAATGTAGACACAATTACAAAACACTTAGTGGGAAGTTTCTACAATTTAGGTCCTTCCAGAAGAATAAAGTGAAACATCCTTACAGGAAGGTGACTGCATAGTCTCAGTGGCAGGACCCCTGCTGTGCACTGTGCGCCCCCCCCC